ATATGTGTTCAGTGTGTTGGTGGTGTGGACGAGTTTTCCGGCTTATCTACTTCTACTGTACGAAAAACAACTACGCTGGGACATTGTATGACACAGAAGCGAGATTCAGGCGTGTGACTCGAGGAATGCGTAAGTAAAAAGTATAAGAAAAAGTGGATGCTTTAGAATGTATAAGCAATGCTTATGATAGTGTCTCATGGCAGTCAGGAACGAAAATGTCTATAGAAAAACGGCAATGAATGTGGCTGTTGACGAGTGTGATGCCGTGCCAGAAGAACTATGGGATGAGATCCGGTTCTTGAACTTGATCATCCGACTATACTGCCAGATTAGTAGCACTAGCTTGATGATTGGACAAGAGACTTTATAAGATTTATTCCTAATTCGATTTACGACAAATGTTTGGACAGTCCCTAAATGACGCAAACATGCTTTGGAAATAGGAAATTGGATGATTAGTCGATTCTCTTAACTTGAGTCACAAAAGAATGAAGAATAGATAGGCTTGAAAGGTTTTATTGCTCTTTTTATAGATTTGCATGAAACAGCGAGACTAAACTCTGCTCCATAATTCGAATTTTTTACCTAGTAAATTTGTACATGAAATGATGCTTTATGAGCAACGCACTGGCGGAAAAAAATGTTCTCCTTATAAAAGTTACCCTTGTCAATTCTATTAGATTGAAAAACTGTCCAGAACTTAGCTCCCTTGACGAAGTTGTTAATTTCTGTCATCCTGGAGACAGGAGGGGAAGGAGGAGAAGGAAAGCGCTGATTTTATTAGGTCGTCCCGAAAGTTCTTGCGATCGATATTCAAAAATTCACAACTTCTGATTTTTCGAACCGATTTGCTTTTATTTTTGTGTGAAAGAGCAAGTCATGCTCTTTATGACATCTTAGTTGCTTATCAATGATCATCTGTTGCATAGATAGGAGCGATAGAAGAAAATTGGACAAAATTCGAATTTTTCTTGTAGGATCATAAAAAATCGGAAACTTGCAACAAAAATCAGAGCAGTCAGTATTATAGGTTCTGTTACCTGCTCTTTCTAACAGTGCAAAGTTTGCGCCGATTGATCGTCTCTATGAAAAGTTATGATTTCCCCGAAAAGTGCCAAAATAAATCAAATTCGCCCTTTTGTATTGCTTGCTTGAAAATCATAACTTTCCATAGAGACGCTCAATCAGCGCAGACTTTGCACGGCTAGAAAGAGCTGGTGAAAAAAACCTACAATAGCGACTGCTCCGATTTTTGTTGCAAGTTTCCGATTTTTTATGACCCTACACAGAAAATTCAAATTTTGACCAATTTTTTTCTATCGCTCCTATCTATACAAAAGACGAACATTAATAAGCAGCTAAGATGTCCTTATAAAGAGTATGAATTACTGTTTCATAGAAAAATAGAAGCAGTCAAATCGATTGGAAAAATCAGAAGTTATGAATTTTTGAAAATCGTGCGCAAGAACTTTCGGGACGACCTAATATTTCCTTCCTAGACACATATAAAACAAAGAGTGGAATTTTGAAAAAAAAAACTGTCAAAAAATTCTTTTGAATTCTAATGGAGCTACAAAAAGTCACTGAAGTCTGATTCATATTCTTATGGCTTTTCGATTATATTTTCTAACTAAGTAAAGCTGTACTGAGTAAATAAGTGAGAAAAAATTGCTCAGAATAGAATGTTCTAATGGAGTCAAAAATCTGGATTTTCTTATCAATTTTTTGAATTTCATCCAGTAAATATAATCCTCAATACATTGCATGATAAGAGGCAAGTTTTATTGGATAACAAAATTTTATATTATATGTAAATGGCAGTGGCGGTCCCAAATACGCACTCGCAAAAATTTTTGAAGTGCTTCTCAAAATTTTTGCGGATCCCCAACCTCCATAATCTTCTCGAAAAACTTTTTTACAAGGCTAATTTGTTTTCTAAAAATTTTCAAAAGTTGTTTAATTTTTTATAAGAATAAACAAGTCACTTGCGCATTTTTATAACCCATATAAGTAATTTTCAAAAAATTTCGCGACCCATTCTCGGGGAGGGGGCCCCTCCCGCCACTGGTAAATGGTGCATGGTATATCTCTAGAAATTTCTCAAATTCTCACAAAACCTCCATGCAATCTAATAGAATTGGAGTAGGTATGGGCAACTTAGTTTGTTCTCGAACTAGCACTTCTTACCTTAAAAGAAAACGCCAAGAAAACTCTCCTTAGTTTCAAGCATGCTTGAAATCGCTTGTTGTTGAATAACATACCGGCCGGTCATGACTTCACGTTTAGTCATCAACTTTTTGTTTGAAACATATGCATCTGAGGAAGAAATGCTGCTTTCATCAAACAAACCAGAATACATTACCAATACCAGTATCAAAGGGTACGTTTGATCAAGGAAAAAGTAAGGCGTTGCCGATTTTGCCGATTTGATCGAAAATCAGAAAAAGGAAAAATTAATTGCATTTTCGGTCCCTATTTCGCATTCTGATATAAAAATGACAAAAACTAGTCGCTACCAGCGGTCATAGCAAAGTTATTAACGACTTATGTTCATAAAAATACAAGCTGTCAAATAAATCTTAGAAAATGAATGATTACAAAGTGTGAAATTACAAATAGCTCTTACAACAAAGGCAATTTCACATAAAAAGAGCGGCGAAGTCAGTTCTGCAACGATGTCAAGTGTTTGGCTCTAGAGGGTAAAGAGCAACACCTCTTGAACAAGGAAGAAAGAGGGCCCCGATGGGAAAGGAAAAAGAGGAAATGCAACAAAATAGGCATACCGGCACATAGTTGACCCAATTTGCTTATTTTAGCCCAAAACTAGCAAGGTCGATGGCGCATTTTGGGTTCGTACGGGTGTTATGAAGTACCTGGTTAAGAAACTCAAGATGTGATAATAATTTTGGGGAAATAGTGAAGCCCTACTGTGCCTCTGTCTGTGATTAAATTTTACGAGAGTTCTGCTTTGAGGACATCAGAAGCAAATTGAAAATTGCTGGAATTACTCTAAAGAGTTTTATCACTAAATTGATTTATTCCACATGCAACTGGTAAGATACCATGTGTCGCAAAATTAAGTTGAAAAAGGAGCAAAAATTTGTTGTACCAAATGTTTATGAAGGATTGATATCGTAAGAGAAGTCTTATCTTCCTTTTTCTATCAGCCTATAATTTCGATCAACCAAAAAGTCTATTGATGGCTAAAATGGCCTATTTGAAACGAGGTATTGTCCAATTACCGCAAGCTAGAAAAGAGACAAAATCCTCAAAATCACCTGACTGGAACGTGATGGATTATTTTGTATGGCAATACCTCGAATCGAGGCATGCACTAAGCCTCATAAATCATTTTCTGAGTTGAGATCTTCTTTGATTAGAATCTTGGAACAAAAATTTAAGCAAGAGACGTGCCAGAAAGCAATCAACTCTATAATACTTTCAGAAAGAATACGTAAATGTGTTGTTGAAAAAGAGGTAAATTTGAATATTTTTCAGTAAGAGCTATTTACGTTTTAAAGAAGAGTTCATTAGCTGCGAGATGCCTTATGATACCGTATAAGCCTCTGCATCATTCCACATTATTAAATTTCACATTGGTAATAACAAGATCTTTTTTGGATGAATAAAACACAAAATGACGAATAAATATTAGGCTGGAAACTAAGTTTTGCAAGTGGTTTCATAACTTCACTCTCTTTGGATGTAGCGACTCAAACTTTGGCATTAAGTAGAAGGCAATGTGAGGTACAAGTTAGCACAAATTGTCTAAATTTTGGACACGAAATAGAAAAGTTTCAGGCGTTTTTCGAAAACTAGTGAAATTTAAGAATTTTTGAGGTTTCAAGCTAAAATGAAGCCTTTGGCAGCCTACAGCATGCGCAGTAATCCGGATTCGCCTACAAATTATTGCTGGAGATTGACTCCTTTGGCCTATTAAAAAAGAAATAAAATTTAGGGGCATGTCGAGATTTGGCGTCCTCATAAAGTCGAACGAGTCGATGTACGTAAGAGCTGCTGGGGACGACGTCAATGACTAAAGAGCCCGAAGCTCAAATTCCGCCGAGACTTTAATAGTAAGGTTATTTGGCCTGCCAAACGCGAATATCACATTCATTTGTTGAATCAACACCTTTTTCGTTGTTTAGGGTGAGACCCCGTATCGTACACCTACAGTATTCCTACAAAAAAGCCCTTATTACGCAATTTAACTATCGTTTTCGTAATCAGCATGTCGGATAACATCCCTATGCCAAGTTGCAGCCAAATCCGTCAAACATTGAATTTTCCCCTTCATACCGTGCACCTACCGTAACCCTCACTGCGACGTCAGAATTTGGTAGGACAGCAGCTCCGCTTGTAGCTTACGTAATAACCAACGCCGTGGCAAAATTTGAGTGCGCCATGTTGAGTGAGAGGGAAGTTATGAGACCAGTTGCAAAACTTAGTTTCCAACCTAATAAATTAGAAAATATAATTTTAATCCATTGAAACAGAGAATGTTGCAAATATAATAAAATAAGAACCAAACAGAGTCTGTTGACTGTTCTACCATTTATACAAAAAAACTTATTCTTATTGTAACCATGAAGCATCAAAAAGCGGATTATTCCTCTCTTCAAATCATGCTGTATCAAAATGATCAAACGAATCAAATGAAAATGTTTTGTTCCGGTGTCAATCTGTCAATCAACTTTTGAATCAATGTTTGTCAACATTTTGGGACAGAATGTAGTCCTTCTGCGAATACATGTGTCATAGGTCGATTCAAAATTACCTAAGATGAAGAGTTATGAGTCAAAATTACAACACACCCAGGTATTCGCCGAGTACCATGAGAATAGAGATGATGAGGAAGTAGCTTGCAGGTTTTGAAGACCTTGACATAACCGAACGCTGACTCAAGCGAAATTTTTTTTCAATTGAGCAAAGGCGGGAGTTCAAAGGTGCACTATGAAATATGGACCTGTTTCGAACGGTTCTCTAAGGACACGACAACGGTCAAATTCACGGCAAACATAAGCGTGACCTTGAGAGAAGACAGACACAGAGCTGTTTTTCATCCGTAGTGAGAACATGCAGCCGTGCAAGATATCGGTTGAGGAGGCGTACAGCAGCACGCAGGCGGCGGGCGTGAATCTATCTGGCCACGTCCTATATAAGGTCGAAGCGAAAGCACAGTAGACAGCTGTGTGACGACAACGACGACGACGACACCGACAGCTCCAATCCGTCACTAGAATGGACTTGGAGCATCGGGTAAAGGCCTATCGTTTCGTCGCCTATTCGGCTGTCACATTTTCTGTCGTTGCGGTGCTATCAGTATGTGTAACACTTCCTATGGTCTATAATTATGTACACAATGTGAAGCGGACTATGCACAATGAAGTCAATTTTTGTAAGGTAAGCTAGCTGTGCATTTTCACTTTCGCATACTCCATAGATCCATTTCTATTCAGGGATCTGCGAAAGACATCCTAAACGAGGTGAACCAGCTTCGGCATATCCCAACTAGTAACCGTACAGCGCGTCAAGCCGGCTACGGACCTCCTCCAGACGCGGCTGTTACGGGAATGGTCCAGCACAATTGCGAAGCCTGCTGTATCCCTGGCCCTCCTGGCCCACAGGGACCACCAGGAAGGCCGGGTCGACCTGGCAAACCCGGTGTACCCGGAATGCCCGGTAAACCTGGTCGCCCACCACAGCAGCCCTGTGAGCCGATCACACCACCTCCATGCCGACCATGTCCACAGGGACCACCTGGACCGCCGGGACCTCAGGGACCGCCTGGAGACCCGGGACCAAATGGAAAGCCTGGAGCACCTGGATTGGACGGTCCTCCAGGGCCGCCAGGGCCGAAGGGACCACGTGGACCGCCTGGGAATCCGGGACCAGCTGGACCACCAGGTCCTCCAGGAGAGGATGCTCAGTCAGAAGGAATCATTCCCGGAGAGCCTGGACCTCCAGGACCACCAGGTCCCCCAGGACCACCAGGACCAGATGGTCTGCCCGGCGCACCAGGAGCACCAGGTGAGCTTAATCCTATACATTCGAAGCAATCATGTACCTAACTGCTTTGGAATTCTAGGTCAACCCGGGCCCAAAGGACCGCCTGGACCCGATGGACCACCCGGACCAGACGGTAATCCTGGACGTCCCGGACCACCAGGACCGCCTGGCCGACAAGGCGAACCCGGTATTTGCCCGAAATATTGTGCAATCGACGGTGGAGTGTTCTTTGAAGATGGCACACGTCGTTAAATGTAGATATACATCGAATTTGTCTGTTGGGATCCCATTACGATGGTTGATCCACAGCAATAAAGAGATTTCATGCGGAATAGCTCTTTAATATGTTTGAAAAGTTCGGTGATTACCAACCAAAGAAATTAATTCAAACACAAAAATAATTGGAGTAAGTCTTCCACTCTTTGAAGAGGATAATGCAAAATTGTGTCTGTCCGATTTTCTCACTCCAAGCGGAATATACATCTATTTTTTGCAAATGCTGTCTCCATGAGAATGACCAGTACATTTTTTTATTTATCGCAGACCCACTCCATTCTAGTGGAAGAAAGCATTGTTGTCGAGCTAACACTACAGCCTGTTCTAAACCGGAGAACTAAGTCGTGTTCTTTTTTGGAACTAAAAAAGTGCCTGTCATCGTTCTTTGATGTTCTCTCATAGTCTCGTTGTGGGAATCGCATATGTTAGATGAGTGTTTCTGGAAACTTCATATTCCGTCCAGGGGATTTTCTGGACTATATTCGTCAGCAAGTTTTCGAGAATGTGGATGTGGCTTGGAAAATTGCCAATCCTCTTTCTCTGCGTTCAAGTCGTTCTTGTATCGTTGTACTGTCACTAATATGAATGTGGATGTTCAGCCCATAGGCGATATTCAAAACTTCAGCCATTTTTACTTGTTGTACTCTTGAAAATAGCTATTCTAAATATTTTCTTAGATCTTATAGGTTTATTTGCGCTTTTGTTACATAGTTACTGCTATTCACAAAAACCTGTTAAATGATGCAAAGGAACCGGAAGCACAGAGTAATCTGTGACCAAATAATATGAGAAGTCAGTTTTTCAAAGAGTGGAACGGTCATTACCGGAACTCGCTTCTTCAAATGAAGGCCATTACTGTAACATTATCACTTTCACGCTCATTTGATATTCTCAACCGGGGAAAAATGAGAAAATTGAAAATTTCGATTCGAATTTTCCATAGAGTGATATAAATGTCTTGTACGACCCGTCTTCAAAGCAGTTCCCAGCAGAATCAGACCGTAGAAATGGCCACAACGGGGAAGTACACTTACCTTTGACTTTTTGAAGAACTCGCGCCGAATTCTGTCCCTGCCCACGAGAAAAACTTCTTCTGATTCACGAGTATTTAGTTTGGCACACGCTCGGCGACTTGATTGAACCAAGTCTATGTGGGAACACCACCACCGCTCGCACTCTCTCTTTGCACTTCAGTGCGAGAATTACAGGCGCCAGGGTTTTCGTGCCATGGTGCTTCCGCTTTCATACTGAACTCTCGCCCAAGCCCTCTTTTTAAAGAAAAGAAGTGTTGTCATTTTCACCTTGTTCAAAGGCCTTACTCGGGTGCAGCGCGACGGAATGTCCCAGGAAATACGATGAAGCCAAAATTTTAAAATCTTCCGGAACTGCCTCTAAGCGATAATATCTTCTAGAAAAAATTCTGGTTTTGAATTCATTGAGAGAAGTAGAAATCAACGAGTGGCTTTAAAAGGGGACTCTTCTTGAAAATATCGAATTCTTTAATTCAGGCGAATTAAGAGTTGAGTTCCTAGTCATCATCACTCGTCTTTCTACTACAATGTGAAGATCGTAAGAACCCAAAACGTCCGTATGCGCATAGTTTCCACCCAACTCTACACGAGTGCAGAAAGTGAAGTTCTAACAAGGGAACGATACTTGGTGTCCGTGGCCTTTTGAGATGAGATGCATACCATTACACTCGTCTCGGAGCGCTGATTTCGAATCTGACTTCCTTTTTCGCTGATTGCTTCTCGGAAAAAAAGTTATTAAGGATTTTCGCGCCAAAGGAGATGTGGTCGAAATGCCAAAACCGCTGCTAAGATGTGGTGTAGTGGCCAGTGCGATAGCCTCGCAAGTTGATGCAGGTTTAGGTTCGAGTCCTTTTGTGTTTCTAAGTTTTGCATGCCTCAATCAGGTTTCTTTTCAAAAATTAGGCATCCTCGACCGTATTTCTTTTAGGCGACCATTGATGCAAAAACGCTAGTCCCTCATAACTTCTTCTAGAGAAACGATTAGCAGAAACGGAAGTCATATTCGGAATCAGCGTCCCAAGACGAATGTGATGGTATACATTTCATCTCAAAAGGCCATGGACACCAAGTATCGTTTCCTTGTAAGAATGTTCAAATTAGGCAAAAGTTTGGAAAATTTCCAAAGCCTACTCTAATTCGAAAATTGACGGTATGAAGCAAGTTCCAATCATGCCGTTTACTTTCAAGATCTACTTTGAACTTATCGAATTTGTGTAAGATTGTTAGTTAGAAATTAGACACAAGCCTAGGTGAATTGCATCTGTATCTTTGCTAGCGAATTTCTTACCATTTGCTTCACATTCCTTCACTAATGTTTACATAAGTTCTCCGTAACTCTCCATGCGTTTTCCCTTGTTTTTTTTGCCCGTTTGTACGCCGAATTTGGTGTCATACCAATGTCCACGCGCTTCAACAAACAAACTATTCACCATTCACTAAAAAATACCACTTGAACTTCGCGCGTGTCATGTGCAAGGTCAGCTTGAGAGCGTTGAAGCGTGACGGTCCTGTATTGTTTTATTGTTAGAGTAGTGAAAACAATCAAAGTAGGGAACATTATAGTCAAAGGAGTCAACAACAAAATTATGGAGCTCGGGAGCTTTGTTAAAATAGAAGGATAAAGAATTTGATGCCTACTCGCAAACTATTTTACTTGTTTCAGAGAAATGAAATTTCGTTTGAAGCTCTATAATGATGTGCGATGGTGAGCCGGTTCCCTCATGCAAGCCCCATAAATATTTAAGGTCCGGTTTACCTTTGAAGGAAAGAGCACGGTTGGCTGTGGCTCATGGAAAGCTTGATCGCACCTCGTCTCAAAGTCCGTCAAATTCTTTACTATTTGAGAATGGTAAATCCATACCAGTTCGCCACACCTCTGCAGCTGAAATCCACTTTCTAACCTATATTATGTTCTTTTTGAATGGAAGTTTCACCGGTTCTCTCGCTCAGCTTTCTTGACTTTTCTCACAATCAGTGGCCAACTGCTTCTGATCGAAGCACGTAAAGAACGTTGCGGTAATCTGAGATATATGTCGAGGGCCGAGCCCTATAACTATTAGCTCGGCAAAAATATGTTCGGTCGTTTTCAAGATTATAGAGATGTTACGACTTGCTTATGTATGAACGTATAGAACCACTGAAAAGAGCAAATCGAGAATATTCGGATGGTCAACACTGTTCCTTCGATATAATTTTTTGATGACGAAATAGTGCAAGAAAGGAAGATTTTTCATCATATTCCCGAAAAATCATGCTCTAATAAAAGAACCGAAGTTGGAGACAAGATGTATTAGGTTGGTGCAAAAGTTCTTTCCGCCCAAATTCAAAAATTCATAACTTGTTGAATTCTCAACGAAACTGCAAGACCTAAATTTTGCTTAAGAGAGAAACTTATGCCCTTTGCATGTGTACCTGAACTGTTCGTTAAAGTTTACAACTTAAGGAGATAAAAGCTCAAAACCAAAATCACTCAAAATTTGAATTTTTCGTGTAGGATCATAAAAAATCGGAAATCTGCAACAAAAATCGGAGCAGTCAGGATTGTAGGTTCTTTCACCAGCTCTTTCTAACGGTGCAAAGTTTGCGCTGATTGAGCGTTTCTATAAAAAATTATGATTTCCCTGAAAAATGCCAAAATAAAACAAATTCGCCCTTTTGTATTGCTTGCTCGAAATTCATAACTTTTGATAGAGGCGCTCAATCAGCGCAAACTTTGCACCGTTAAAGAGCTGGTGAAAGAACCTACAATACTGACTGCTCCGATTTTTGCAGATTGCAGATTTCCGATTTTTTATGACCCACGAAAAATTCAAATTTTGAGTGATTTTGGTTTTGAGCTTCTATCTCCTTAATTTGTAAACATTAACGAACAGTTCAGGTACAAATGCAAAGGGCATAAGTTTCTCTCTTAAGCAAAATTTAGATCTTGCAGATTCGTTGAGAATTAAACAAGTTATGAATTTTTGAATTTGGGCGGAAAGAACTTTTGCACCAACCTAATATATAGAAATGTGGCGAAAAAACAGCAAATCTTAAAATTTTCGGGCATTATGACCATAAATGGTCGAATTCTAGCGTTTTAGATTGCCCAATTGACTTCCGCGCAAAACTTGGAAATTCTCGCATAAATAGCAGATAACAATCTCCATTGTGGTTCGCTATGTAGCCAAAGGTTATGTGTATTCAACCACTAAATTACTCGTCTTTACATGCACTAGAAGCTGAGAATGAAATCTAGAAAGATAAAAAAGTGATTTTTATAGAAAAAAGTGATTTTTAAAGGCTGACCATATAAGGGCCGGTTTCAGCCGGTTTCAGCCATCTCTTACGAGTAACGCTTTTTTAAACTTCTTCTCGATCCTTACAATTTCCTCCATTTACCAAGCCAAAATGTCTCATATGCTTGGCCGCTAACTTTGCTTTAGTAGTGATTTTCTCGGAGACAATTGCACAAGCTGAATACATTCGCCTGCGGATTGTCTAGTCCTATTCATTTGATGGACAACGCATTAGCACCAAAGCTTTTTTGGTAGCTAATAGCACGTATATTAGTTGTGCATCAAGTTGCTGTATTCATTTGTCTCCCGGATAACTTTTGAAGACGGGTGCATTGGCCCATGCACGCAAATGGGATTAATGCGCAAAAAAGGGATTAGGCATCACTTCCATTCTATTGAGAATTTGTTAGGTTGCTAGCGAACTCACCTTAACAACAAGTTGGTAGCCGAAGGACTTACTCGAAGAAATTCAGCTTGTTTCCCGATTTTCTATGTTCTCATCATACACTTCATGGCGTCTCACACATGAAGTTTCAGAAGCGTGGAAACTTCGGAAAACCTTTAGGTTTTCTCGAAAGCGTGGACAGGTGTCACGAAGTGTTTCGCACCTTATGCTACAGAAAGTCTCGTTCCTCGTCTCTGCTTGCTTGATATGAAAGAACGAGGGCATTGCTGGATGGGAGCAGAGTTATGCCCAGCGATAGGGGCGTGGTCACTTTACAGCTCAAGCAATGCCTTAATTGAAAGTTCCAAAAAGTTCCGACAATAGAAATCAGATGCCCAATATTTTGGAGACTGGTTATGACATATCAACTTTTCACATATGTATGCTCGGTGGCTGTCGGTGAATTTTTTCGAAAGGTAAGGGAGGAGGAGCAACAGAATTGTTTCCGAACAAAGGCATGAGGTATCGGCTTAATCTCCGAAATAAGTTCAGGATGCTTTCCTAGAATTTTAGGCGCTTGTAACTCCGAATTTTCAAGGAAAAGGGGCAGGAAATTCTTTTTAGTGGGTAACCCTTTCTAAGAAAGATGAATGATTTTGGGGAAGAACAGATGATAGATTTAGCTTTGGACTGCATCAGGACTCAGGCGAATTCTATTTGACAGTGTTCAGAAAATGATTCTGATTTCACACGATAATGCTTCAGTGGTGAGAGTAATTGGGTGTACGGTAGGAGATTAATCTCAAATTGTCTAAAACTTCCAGGGAGATTATTTAGCTCATTAGAGTTACCATGCCCACTCGTTACGGTACATAGTTGGTCGACTTGACTTCGACCATTGCTCAGAAAATCGTATATAACTTCCGGGGGAAACTGAACTATAACTTCCGAGAGAATACTCCTATTGGAGCTGCCTAGTGGGGCGGGGCCAGGTATGACGGGGCCCACTCACACGGCCCAATAGCAGCGCCCCGAAAAGTTCGTCCTGCGGTCAGTGAATGAACGACACTACTGCTTCTGAAGAAAACATGCTGAAAGAGAAGACAAAAGAGAAAATTCAGACTGAATTTTCACATCTTCATCAATCAAAAAGTGCTGGTAACCTATTTGTACCTTTGTTAGTTCGCTTCATCTGCATATCAGCGCTGTTTCCGCAGTGTGCCATTTAAGCTGGCTAAAAATTCATCCCCATTCGTTCAACACGACAAATGAAGTCAGTCCTTGCTAATGGAACAAGATCAGATTGTTTTTCTTCGCATTTGTTTCGATTCAGTTTCCCGGATCTTTGAAAAATGCACTTTTGATGAAAATCACACAGCTGCGCTGATTAGCGAAACGCAGTGTTTCTTACTGCATGGAATAGAAGCCTTTGTTTCAAGACAGTGGAAACTTCATAATACCTCGAGGGTAATAGGATACTTACCACACAGTAAACTTTACTTGCGATGCCCTTTCGTGGCACTTGTTTGGGCATTCATTGTCATGGAGATTGTGTCCCACATTGCTTCAAAATTACAAAGATCTTGCCACAAGATGTGTTATCTCACAACAATAGTTTGGTTAACATATTCTTCTCAGTAATTTCACAAATGCATCACGCCTAGTGCTCAGCATTTGAGATGTAAATGGACCACTTAGTTGAGCAGATGATTTTTTCTAGCCCTTCTATTAGCACGTTCTGCTAAATGTGCAAAAGAAATTTTCATTAACGCTGGTTAGTGATGGTGGTTACAAGAGCAATATTTGTGAGTAGATCAAGATTTCTAGAGCTACTTGCTCAAAAGAGTAAGAATGTTTGGACCTGGATAAAAAAAGAATTCAGAAAAGAGGGATACAGGTCAATGGTGAGAATTCCTACTATTAAGACGTAAAGTGATTATTATATCACTTAAAAAAATCTTCAAGTAATTAATGCTTGAGTCATCTGAAACCAAATTCACGCAACGGAAACACGTTCTTGACAAACACAAATTGTGTGAACAAAGATTTCCACATGAGTTAAAACTCTCCGAGGAAAAAAATCATCCTGTTTGTAACATTATGATGGAACAATAACAAAATGAGGAGGAAAAGGCTTGCTAACAGACTCTTTGACATAATTTTTCACACTCATTACAAAGTTATTGTAATCTTTTATGAGGGCACAGAATATTTTAGTGTTCTCTATGTACCGCTAAGCTCTTCCAAACCAAGAAATAAGAACAGCTTCCGAACAAGATGTCATCCATGTAGCTCAGAGTAATAAACTCAAATGCTTTGTTTCCAGGTAGGTGTAAGTATTTGCCGTCAAAAAACATCTTGAGTAATCCCACTCCCTTAGAAGATACTGTACAAACAATGGATTCTTACTTGTTCATATAAACTAGCCATCTCATCGATAAAGCGAAGGCGAAGGCTGGCTGCAAAACTACTAAGATTCACTATTTTTTCACAAGGAAACAAATATAAAGATGGCCACGAGGAAAAGAAAAATGCCCATAATGCGTCTTGTACAAGAATTTTGCAATGTTTTCAAATTTAGCGTAACAAACTCGTTGGACTGCATTGTGTCATTTCTACAAAGCCTTTTGCACTCTTTTCGCGAAGCTTTCCAGAAATGAGGGCGTAGCAAGTACGAAGCCGTCGGCTAGGTGGATGCTATAAAAGGAGGACCACTTCGTGGAATCTGTGTGGTCGTCGCAATGGACACCATTGACCAGAAGATAAGAGCTTACAGATTTGTAGCATACTCGGCAGTTGGATTCTCTGTACTTTCTATTTTTTCCGTTTGTGTAACCTTACCGATTGTTTATAACTACGTTCACTATGTAAAGCAATCTCTTCATAAGGAGGCGAAGTACTGTAAGGTAAGCGGACAACCCATTTTTGTAATTTTTTTATATTAAGTCTTATTTGCAGACTTCCACATTTTCCGTCTGGGGAGATGTGCAGAATTTCAAGCAGCAGCACTTTGTGAATAGAACTTCCCGACAAGCAGAAAAACCAGCCGATCGCTATGCAGGGGGAGCATGTACATCCTGCTGTCGTCCTGGTCCTCCAGGACCACCCGGCCCTCCGGGAAAACCGGGAGTACCGGGCAGACCCGGAGCGCCAGGTCTCCCAGGAGCCCCCGGCTTTCCCAGTTCCCAACCATGTGATCCTGTCAGCATTCCGCCATGTAAACCATGCCCTCGTGGTCCGCCTGGCTCACCCGGAAAGCCGGGGTTACCTGGTGATCCCGGAGAGAAAGGTACTACTGGAGCGCCAGGAGAAGACGGACATCCTGGGTTCCCGGGACGCAAGGGATATCCGGGACCACCGGGTACACCAGGAAAGCCTGGTGAGCGAGGACTTCCCGGTGATGACGCACAGTGTACGCCAGTCATGGAAGGTGATCCTGGTCCACCAGGACCACCTGGAATACAAGGGCCACCTGGTACGCCAGGAATGCCGGGACCTGATGGAGAGATAGGTGGGTAAAACTGTTTGAAAGAAAGATACAATTCGAATCCATAAAATTTCAGGAGCGCCTGGACGCAAGGGTACACCAGGACGTGATGGAGCACCTGGATCTGATGGATTACCCGGTGTTCCTGGACCTGCTGGACCACCAGGACGACCTGGGGAACCGGGAATCTGTCCTAGATATTGTGCTATTGATGGTGGAGTTTTCTTCGAAGACGGAACTCGTCGCTAGTTTATAGAAAACGCAAAACTTTGACATTATTGCTTATTTTCTTGTTGGGTTTCAAGAAAAGAAATGAATCATGAGGAAATTCAAGTGAAAATGCGTATGCAACAAGTATGAGAGATTATCTCAAAAAATTACAAATCAGTCAGTTACTGCTCTAAGTAATTCTCAAACCCCCGATATATGTTAAATAAAATTTGAACATTTCGATATCGATTTTTGCTGCAGCTATGACAAGGAAAAATTTAAACACTTTATTACAACAAATATGAATATGTGACGGCTGTGCTGGGGTAATACAATAGACGATATAAATTATTTTATCTCATTGATGCCTGCAACGAAAATAGAATCTGCTTAGCTTAGACTGCTAAGGTTCCTTACCGTATTCATAGGAATGAACCACGCTAATGCCATAGTTCAAAACTACCATGCTTTTCCTTATCTGGCGAAGCTTTATTAGGCGTGGCTTGAGTAAATTCCTGCGTGCTTTGAGTGTCATGCTCTCGTCCCGTCGCCTTCTCCTTCATTTTCACAGCGTCATCTTCCTTTTCCTACAAAATTTTCAGAAGTTAATCGCTTCATTCGTAGCTTAGCGCTGCACACCACGCACGCTACTTCACGACTTGTAAGTGCAGAATCCGCTAATTTCTAGCAATTCTTTCTACCATCCTCTTTTGGCTTCGTTAATTAGGTGTTAGGTAGACTTTTACAGTCAGCTCCGCTATTAGAGGTTTTAAAGGCACCGTCCATTCAAATTGAGGATCATGAGATTTTGATGTCATATAATTAGAGGGGCCTCTAACTAAGCCACAGCCAAAGTCTCGTTGAGAAAGACGAATTCTGAAGTAAGAAAACTGCTATAGAAGGCAAAACCGCCACGTTGGCTGGTTTTGTCTTCAGACCACCCACGTTGGCTCCGCCCATCAACGTGGGTGGTCTGAAGACAAAAAACCCAAAATCGGGCTTTGATGTATCTAGAGTTGTCTCAAATCCGCCTTTCATTATGTCATTTTTTCGACATTTCTATCTACCCTGGACTGACTCTACCTTTGAACTTTTTTATTTTCAGACCACCCACGTTGGTGGGCGGAGCTAACATAGAGGCGTCTACCTTTTGGAGCGGTTTTCTCGCTTCGGAAAAGTCCTTTTGCAACGAAATTTGAGTGATGGCTTAGTTAGAGGCCCCTACATTACATGACATCAAACATTACTCTCGATTCGGGAGACGATTGCGAGGCATGGGTGAAGTGTCGCCGGTTGCCGCGCGCAGTGTGCAGGCTCACATTTCAAGTTACAAATTACTCGAGCAAACCTTGCTTCCTTTCACTTCGTCCTCGCCAGCAGGTGGAGTCGCGCTGAAAACACAGCCATGCTCAGACAATTCCATACAACTAAATTTACTTACTCAAGCCGTGGTGCAGGAGCTAAGGGTAGGTAATTGGGTGATGCTGTAAGCTTGGTAGGACGTGCTTGAGGAGTGAGTGGCTGTGTAGGATCCATAGGTAGCGACTGCTTTCCAGTCTTTTTTTCGAGATGTTCTGATGTGGAGCTTTTTGTGAGTGGTTTGGAACTTTCACGTGATTTTGCCATAATCAACGGTTCATGCTTGGATGGCTCGACCCATGTTGGATTTTTCATAACATTCAAGCAGTAGAATGCTATAAGAAGCACGGTACACAGAGCGGCGAATGTTGAGATGATCTAAATTTAGGATTTTGCCAGGGGAATTTTCAAACTAATTACTAACCGCTGTTGATCGAATCGCATTGGAATGTCCTTCTGGAAAATTTGGTGCTTTGTGCATCCAAAGGCACAAACCACCAGCAAGATTGAACATTAAGTTGAAGTAAAGAACGACGATGATCTGAACTAAGCGACGAAACTCAATAAACTCATGAGTGTGACACTTTCCCAATCCTGGTAAACAATATGCAGATTTTGCAAAAAATATTTTTTCCAATAAGGTGTCTGTGAGAGAAATAGTGAAAATTCAAAAGGGCAAAAAAAAAATTTCGGAAACTTTTGCCGCTTTTGAATTATCACTATTTCTCTCACAAATATCTTATTGGAAAAATTATTTTTTGCAAAACGCATGACTGGAAGTGATGGCAAGGGCTGTAGAATAGGTTAGAAAGAAAAATAACTACCTCCAAAATCTTCAAAACCCTAGAATCAATTATTTTACCAAAACTTAAAATTACTTACTACCTCTTACCATTTGATAAATCTTTGAAATCATTCAAAAGGCAGAAGAATTCAACTCATGTAAAAAAATTTTTGAATGATATATGAGTCGGAAACTTTTCGCCACAGCTTCCTCTTTTTAGGCCTCGGACAGAGTTCACGCGATTTCATCGTCGCGATTGATCGTGACGAGGCAACTGTAACAATATCATTGCATGCTGATCTTCTTGTATTTCGGTTGTGATAGTTTTCCAGCACGACCAATCGTGACTAACTATCACATCCGAAATACATGAAAATCGGCATGCAATGTATTCGTAACACTTGTCGTGTAGCGATGAATTGCGACGATTAAATCGCCTGAACTCTGTCCGAATAGGTGAAAAATGAAAAAAAATCGATTTGTTATTATTAGGTTATTATTAGCAAACTCGCAGATGCAATTTTGAAAATCCGCCGTTGTAGATAGAATGTAATTTATCAATGTTAAAGCTATGTTTCTCAAAATAACATTACTTCAACTCACTACCAATGGAGGGAGAACTTTGTAGCATCTTCTGATGTTAGCAGCCAGTAAACTCACTACCAACAACATTGCGCATAGGACATGAACGATGATCGATGTCATGACCTGTGAATTTATAAATGCAATATTTAGTACCTCTGTGACATGAGATTTCCGGAAAAATCACCTTGAAACCCTCCAAATCAAAATCGCTAGCCGTGGCACCGTAATTGATTGCCTTTGGATGCTTCGGCCGGAAATCGTAGAAATCCGTGCTAAGCAGGAAAACAACTATCGCAAAGTAGACAGTCTGGAAATGTGTCAACTGGTATCATAGGCTGTCATATTACTAAACAGTTTCTGGTCGAATCTGCATGAATTTCAGGGACTGACAAAAACCAGTTGCCAATCTGCTAGAATAAAATTGCGTGGACAGCACAATATATGTTTATTCTTGTAAAATTAAACGGTTCACTTCTAGCGCTTTGAATAGTTCGTAGTGACACTTCCGATCCACCATCTGCAGCTCGCGAATGCCTCGCGATGCGTTTGCAGCATTTGGCTCGACCGTTTGAAACGGCTTCAGCGATTGGAGGGCAGCACTGGGAGCTCGCCCTGTGCAAGATGAAAATTTGTTTGATCCAAACAGTGCTGACCAACTGAACTCTACGTGCGTGCAGAATTTCAACAAAATCTAATCAGCAACAGTGGCCATGAGAGTTCAAAGCTTCACCTTCCTATCCCGCAGATGCGTTGCAATTTATGTATATGTCGTCATTTGTCTTGAAACAAGTGGCTGGTTTGAGAACACTTTTCGATTGTTACATCTGCCCTAGTTGAGACCCGCGAGTGCTCTATCTTAGTAGAACTTCGCCAAGCTGCTTCACCCGCAAGGTATGAGGACTCACCAGTAAGCCAGAGAGGAAATGGGAATGAAGTGCTGTACAGCTCATCCACGACGAAGTGAGAAACACCTATCTACGAATTTAATTCAATTGTAAGCAATCGCTAAATGATTTTGTTGATACATGTATTGAGCCGTCTATTTAGCTTGACGTTTTCTTACAATTAGAATTGGGCCCACTCTGCTATCGCCATCGCCTACCGGCTGGAAGCTGTATTGAACTCAATCATCACAAAATACATTTTGTATCTGATTACCTTTACTTTCAAAGACCAAGCTTCCCTCTTTGAGCTGAACATTGCCTTCTGGAGCTCTGTGTATACAAGAGCAAGATCGAACATCAGACGTTCTACCATCCATCGCTTCGTCTTTCTCAAACATTTTGTTAAGAAGTTGAAAAAAGTAATAAAAGCTCGACGGGTGGATTAATTGAAGTTCAACCGGGACATACAAACTGTTTCAACACAAAATGTGCCAACGGGAACCCCTTCCTGCATAAGAGATTAGCTGGCTTACCCGGCTCCGCTCGGCCCTCTCAAAAGACTATGATAAAGGTCCCATTCTCCCTGTACAACCTTTCCCAGCCCGCTTCTACATGGCAAATCCCCTATTCCTGCTGTGTTAGTAATCAGCATGCTCACCTTACCGCCCCCCCCCCCCCGTGCCAACTCCCAGCCCCGTAGCTTGATTTTCGCAAGAAAATCGATAAAAATCGATAAAATCGGTATCGATCGATAACTAAAAGTAGCCTATGACACGCTCCCCGCCCTGAAGTATATGTGTGCCAAATTTAGTCCCTCGGTTCGGAAATAAAAATTTCTGTTTTGCACATACGTACACACAGACATACGGACAAACAGACATTCAACTTTATATATAAGATTGATAAATACTGCCCCAGGTCGGCAAAAAGGTCCCGCGCGGACGTCTGCAACACATGCGCACTTCTCTCCATCGCAGCTCGTGCTGGCTGTCCGCGCCGGTGCTTGGCTATCTAAAGTTTTCTACTCGGTAGCGGATACTTCACACAAACTGCTTCCGCTTGGACCGGGTTGGAATTGGAAATACTGTATAAGCTCACCAACAATGAATCCCCGACACTCTGATTTGTGAATTTTGGCGCTTATGTAAATCCAGAATCCAATAAAGTACTCTCTCGGTTATCTAACACCCAATGCAATTCATATCCGGAATTTTAACGTGCACGGTGATTGCAAATTCTGTACGGTCACCCGTGAAGCAGAATTTGAAGCGGATTTTAGGTTCTTCTTCATTTTACTTGTAGTTACATAACTAATAGTATTACTAGTCAAAAAATCATTTGGAAACTACCAATTTCCAAAATTCTCATGCAGGGTTATCATGGTGCAGGGATAGAAGAAAGGGAAAATGCTTGAGAAGTGAGAGAAAGTAGGATTGGCAAATGTTCTGTCACATATTTTGATCTAAATAATTTTGAAGCAATCCCCATCACTCTCTAAACTGAGTTACTAATCAGAGTGGAAAGTTGTTTTGCTTAATCATTCTGAAATAAAAGACTTGCGCGGAGCAAATCTCTCTTGTGGAGCATATTATCCACAGAAAATTTGTGATAATGTGGCATTTCATTTGAAGATCAAAGTGCGTACCCAATCATAGTTACTTGCTGAAGAAATTGAATTGAACTGGTTCCACTAGATCTTCAAAGAGACGTACTTCTGAAGCGCTTTTTGTTTAACCCGTGAATCATACAGTGCTGGCCAAAACTATAGATCCACTATAAAAAACTGTCGTAGTTCGTCTGCTTCTCAACGAATTGATCTGAGATTTGGTACAGTTGTGTGTTCAACAGGCATTCATCAGTGACCGGAGCGGATTCAGCTTTCGTTAGATTATTCAGGAAAAAAATTAAAAATTTCGAAAAAAGCAGGCTCGAAAGTTGGCCAAAACTATAGATCCACCCAAAATTTCTGCCTGCTAACGTGATTCTTAGCTTCCAAAATCTTTTGTGCATAAACCTAGTCGAAAGTCAAAGCAGTGGGTTTAGTTCAGCTGCGTCATACCTTTATAAGAAACGCTTATCTGCTTTTTTCCACTCAAAAACTGCTCTCATGCGTATTTTGTTCCCGAGAATGTGTTTTTATGAGGATTCCGCACTTTTTTGACTGGTTTGAAAGTGATAGGGCTCCATCTATCTTATAGATGCTTAGCAGCGTGAGCAGTAAAAAAAATTCGGGTTTTCGTATCCAAAGCGCACCTGACACAGACATAACCGTAGGCCTGCGCTCGAATTTTTGCCTTCAAAATTGGTATCCGCTATTTTTATAAGCTCAAAATAATGTAGAAGCATTATTTAGCATTATTCACCTAAAAAGAAGTTTGTAAACTATAGTTACGATTGCTTGCGAAGTCGCACTTTAATTCTTTTTCAAAGCATAAGTCTTGCGGTGTGTTCGGCAATCTCAAAGTACTTACCAACTGGTACCTTCTTTGAATTTTGCCACTTTTTAGCTGCTAACTATTGAATACACCCTGCAATATATGTTGCCTTGTGATTCACATGAGCATTATGGTCAGAAGCAGAAATAACTTCAAGGCTTGTTGCAAATCACTTTTTGCAGGATGAAGTCCTCAATTAACCTGCATACTAGGATCTGCAAAAACCTGCAATCACTGCATACGGACTCTCATACATACCAACAATGTATCTACTCCAGTTCACGCTCATGACAACGTTGCAGAAAGAGCTTGAAGGCATAAATTTGAACGCAGGCCTGCGGTTAGGTCTATGTCAGGTGCGCTTTAGATACGAAAACCCGAATTTTTTTCTGCTGCTCACGCTACTAAGCATCTATAAGATAGATGGAGCCCTATCACTTTCAAACCAGTCAAAAAAGTGCGGAATCCTCTACAAAAACACATTCTCGGGAACAAAATACGCATGAAAGCAGTTTTTAAGAGGAAAAAAGCAGATAAGCGTTTCTTATAAAGGTATGACGCAGCTGAACTAAACCCACTGCTTTGACTTTCGACTAGGTTTATGCACAAAAGATTTTGGAAGCTAAGAATCACGTTAGCAGGCAGAAATTTTAGGTGGATCTATAGTTTTGGCCAACTTTCGAGCCTGCTTTTTTCGAAATTTTTAATTTTTTTCCTGAATAATCTGGTGAAAACGGAATCCGCTCCGGTCACTGATGAAAGCCTGTTGAACACACAACTGTACCAAATCTCAGATCAATTCGTTGAGAAGCAGATGAACTACGGCAGTTTTTTATAGTGGATCTATAGTTTTGGCCAGCACTGTATGTACTTTCAAATCGAAGGAACAGAAAACGGGTTGCACAATTTTTTTAGCTCGCACGATGTTTGATTTATCGTTTATTAGCATGGAACAGTGCGATTTGTGTTCTACTCATCAGATTGTATTCATATTGCAAGTACTCTTATTAAGTACAGATACTGATCTAGGTGAGAAGATGCATACGACGACGTGACCCATCCTCGAAAAAGACGCCTCCATCGAGAGCACAGTACTTTGGACATATTCCGCGTTCTCCACCTTTTCCACTCGGTCCCGGTGGTCCAGGAGGTCCGGGATTGCCTGGTGGCCCAGGAGGTCCTTCCGGTCCTGGAGGACCTTTTGGACCGGGTGTGCCTAAAATTTTGTGTTTCAGGCAACTAAAAGTGGGAAAAATATGCTCGAGCAGAAAAAACTCCTACCTCCTCCCAAAGATGCACCCGATTTTCCTGGTGGTCCAGGTGGGCCAGGCGGGCCGGGTGGTCCAGGTGGACCAGGGATAGGGGGTCCCGGAGGTGGAGCACCGTAACCACCGCCCTCCCCTTCCCCACCAGGCGGCCCTGGTGGTCCCATCTTTCCTGGAGGTCCGGGAGGACCTTTTGGACCCGGAGGTCCCGGAGGTCCACTCCCGCCTCCTCCACCACTTATGCCGTCCGGACCTGGATCACCCATAGGACCCTGAGGGCCAGGCGGTCCTGGAGGCCCTTCTGGACACGGTTTGCATGCTGGCGCGGGTGCTTCACAGCCGCCTCCCGCAGCACCGCGTCCAGGTGGACCGGGAGCGCCCGGCGCACCAGGTATTCCTGGTCGTCCAGGTCTTCCAGGAGTTCCTTGAGGTCCGGGTGGTCCGGGCAGGCAACAGGCGTTGCAGGCGTTGATCGCTACCCCGCCGCCGCCGCCGCCATATCCACCACCTCCACCCACGCCATAGGAACCGCCAGGTGCGCCATAACCACCACCACCAACGCCATAGGATCGGATTGTTCGATTGAGCGCTGGTGGGGAGTTCATAATCCGCTCTACCTCGTTCCAAATATCTTTCGCTGCCCCCTAAAATGTTCCGTTGGCAAAAGTTGCAACACTCTAACATTGAAGTCTCACCTTGCAAAAGCTGACGTCCATGTTCACTGATCTCTTCATATGGTAGATGTAGTTGTAAACCATTGGGAGACTGACGCAGACGGTGAGTACGGTCACTACGGAGAACGTCACCGCTACATAGGCAATGTAACGATAGACAGCAACACGCTGTCCGGAGCTCAGCTCCATGCCTATGTGCGACAATTACAGCACTGGTTTGCCTTTTATATCGCTGAGCTATGTTCACTGCTTACTGGGCCGCCCATTTACCATCTCCTAAAAGACTTTATTGGCTTTTTCACAAACGTTGCTAGGTAATTTCCGCGAAACCGTCACACATTTCCCTTTGAGAGTAAAGCTGCTGTACTTTGCTCATTTTACTGGAAACTTTCTCAATAACCGGTCGCATGATGGCATTTTCGTACGACCATCTCATTTTTCAGCGCAGTTCCTCTGGAACAGAATGCATAAAAAGGTGAATTGTAGCAGTGAATTTGCAGATTCCCGATTGCGACCTTCGCTGTTTCGTCCATGCAGTGAAGGAAATCAAAATTTGAAATTTTTTAATTTTTTGCTATTCACTCGATTTGATCTGAGCCCTTTTTCAAGTACAGAATCAGTCTGCTGAAATGAGTCATATATGTGACATTGATCAAAAGCCGTCGTAAGCTGATTTCATCAAATATCGTCATAAACATTTTTCTAAACGAAGCTCAGCACCGCCAGTTTCCTGAAAGTTTTTTTTGACAAATCAAACAATTTTAGGTGATCGAAAGATGATTAGCAGTGGACGGATTGTAAAATTCACTCACATAAGCAGGCCAAATTCAAGTGTAATTTGGATGCTTGCTCGATCAAGTGCACTCGCACTTCATGTGTTTCGGTCGTTTTTCGTTTACTATTCTTTCGCACGATGTGGAAAAAGTCGCCAGATCATGATTGGTTCGAGTGTATTCTTCTTTGTTCCCGCAGGTGGGCTGTACTCAGAGAAGTTCTTCTGTATGTCAAAAGTGATCGACGGGAGATTAATTCGCAATCGTTGAACGTGGTTTACATGAGTTGTAAAATCGTGTGATCATTTTATTTACTTCACTTGTGAACAATCAAAATATCGTGAAATCTTATAAATTTGAATGAGATTTTGAAATAAGAAATATCAACTATGTGGTAGTCCCACGCTCGTTTTCTTTTTTGTATATCTTCTCGGATGGCACGCATCTTTACTAGAAGAATGCTGCTAATGCTCGCAGCCCTGAAGAAATCCTAAGACTACTGTGTATTTTTTGATTTTCTTCTCATAAGGCCTAATTTGCTGTGCGTTCGAAATGTCCAAGTCTCCACATTTGTTACTCAGCTTATGACTAAAAAGGAGTTTACGGACATTTTGGTATCATTCATGATGATTTGTGAGAACATAATTGCCGGACGAAGGCGGTTGCTTGAGGGCAGCGTTTCAAAGGAAATTGTGAAACTGTACTTTATAGACATAATCTTCAAAACTCGTTGCGTCCATTTATATATTTTACCTTGTTTATTTGCCTATTACCTTTATCATCAATAAGGGTCGATATCTTTACAGTTTACTAAACGTCAATGTTTTTGCGCGTGTTATTTTGTGGGTGTTATTTAGTTGTTGCTCGTTGTGTTTTTTCTAAATAAGATTACGGTAAATTATTAGGTTGTCAAGAAAATAATGTCGGTTTTTATTTACTTGCTTTAACAAAGCAACCAGACTTAACCCAACAAAGGGTAAGGGGTACTGTTCGATAGAGAAAAGCAAGCTCTACAAGATGGCACTCATGTGTTTGCGCCATGCTCGATCCACGGAGAGTTCGAACTCAAAATCTAAAGATTTCCAAATGCCCAAAAAATCGAAAAAAATCAGAACTTCGTCCAAATAATTTCTACGGACCTCACGCGCTCACATCAATACTATCGATATCTGATATCCATATGTGCGATTGCCGTATTTTTTCCTTGACTAGAAATTGAGAAAAAATTTCCCTGATTTTCTCAAAGCAATGCTGAGCCGTTTTTGCATATGTAGTTCTATACTACAAGCCTAGGTAAGCATAACTGTAGGTTTTCAGCCTATTTCGAGCGGTAGTTTTCGAAAAATAACGAATTCGGATTTTTTCGTTTCAGTTTCAGTGCTAAAATCGACATTTCTCGAAAAGTACCGCTCGAAATAGGCAGAAAACCTACAGTTATGCTTACCTGGGCTTGTAGTATAGAACTACATATGCAAAAACGGCTCAGCATTGCTTTATGAAAATGAAGGAAATTTTCGTTTTCTCAGTTTCTAGTCAAGGAAAAAATACGGCAATCGCACATATGGATATCAGATATCGATAGTATTGATGTGAGCGAGTGGGAGGTCCGTAGAAATTATTTGGACGAACTGATTTTTTTTCGATTTTTTGGGCATTTGCAAATCTTTAGATTTTAAGTTCGACTCTCCGTGGACCGAGCTAGCGAGGCGCAAGGACAGGAGTGCCATCTTGTAGAGCTTGCTTTGCTCTATCGAACAGTACCCCTTATCCTTTGTTGGGTTGAGTCTGGTTGCTTTGTTAAAGCAAGCAAGTAAAAACCGACATTATTTTCTTGACAACCTAATAATTCTGATTTATGAATTTTCATGCCTTGACAAGGTGCAAGTTTGTTTATAACAAACACAAAGGATATGACATCAAAAGTCTGCACCTGAAATTTGACACCGAAGATTTGTAGAAATTCGTATGAATAAATGCCTCAGTTTTTTTCCCCAATTGATGCGTGCGCAAAGGCGAATCAACGCGTGAATGTTGCATTTTCACCAGAAATTCAGTGTGGTATTCTTGTTTTTTTTCTTCCAGTCTCTTCTTCAACTTCAATTTTTAGCTTGGATTCAGCTGTTTCCTGTAGTAGATATGGTGCTTGACATTACATGCATTGTATCGATATAGCATCATAAAGTAGACACACAGTAGCTCATGAATACATTCGCTGGATATTTTCTGCTGCTCACATTTAGGAAACAAAAATAGTCCAAAAATCCAAAATGTCACTTTCTTCGGGCTTTAAAATGCTAAATGTATTTCTCGATCACCCGAGTACGGACAGAGATATAAGTTTGAAATTGTGATTACTGAGTGATGCAGATACAAACACATATTTGGGAGAAGCTGGGGCGCGGTTTGCCAGTCTTGACTTTTTTTTTATTTCTACCTCGGAAAAACATTATAAGTACTCATATGTACCTTCTGTACGATGACCAAGTTGAAGCCGCGTAGATTGCAAAGATCCAGTCTCAAGACGATAAATTTTTCCCGAATTTTGGCTCCAAACTTTCCTTTGTGGCGACATAGTAGGTGTGTCTTTGGCAGTCACGATGTAGACCTTGCTTCACTCTATCGAATGATACCTCAAATCTGCTAGAACACAAAAACGGCTTAATGTATTTGGAAAGACAATTCACTTTTAAGACAATTTTCTTAATCCAACTTTAAATTATTCCTGTCATAACTGCAAATTCTGAAACATTCGCACTTCACAAAGGAACACCTAAAGTGGTTAGTTGATAAGTGGTCGAGGTGGACCACGCATGGCTTGCCTAACACTGACTGAGAAAAATGTCGATTTTCGCAACTTGCATGGTTCAAATTAAAAGCTTACTCAGGAATTCTATTAAGAAGCTTCAGTGCAAAACGATAACAGTGTTCTTGCGGTCAATCCTGCCATCCAAGATTCTCTACTTTCTTACGAAAACATGTGCCGAGCTTGGGGAGAGGAAAACTAAAAAACTTGGATCTTCCGGGAATTAAATTATTGTCACAGAACTTACAAGGGAGAGTTCCCAAGTCAGCTCGGCCAACCCGGATGGGTCATATATCACCGCAACGGGCTCGAAACGCTGTTTCTGCGGTACGACTCTCCGAGAGAAGTTATGAGCGTTTAAATGTTCAAATTTGTCATGTTTGAAGTGACTTAAATTCAGTTGAAAGCTGTAAAACAACACCTAACGGAATTTCACTATCTGTGTTCCGTCCTTGTAATCAAAACACTTGATACAAAACTGATGAATCACTTTCATGTGTTATTGTACAGGTTTCCTCAATTTGAAGCCACTTAAAACATGACATATTTAGGCTTTTAAACGCTCATGACTTCTCTCGGAGAGTTGTTCCGCAGAAAAGGACAGCAGATTTGGAATCAGCGTTCCAAGCCCGTTACGGTGATATATGACCCATCCGGGTTGGTCGAGCTGACTTGGGACTCTTCCTCGTTAGATCTGCTTTGCAAGCTAGCTTCGATAAGTAAATGGGCGGACATGTATTTCTCCCAAGTTCGGCCTCATTCTTGCGAGAGGTGCATAACCAGTAAGAGTTAATGTTCGTCGCTAAGAGTTTATGGAAACCATTTTGACGAGATAGGCGTATCGGCCATTCATTCACAGCATAAACTGAATTACGCATTTGCGCAAACCCGTTAGCATAATTTGAATGAGGACTTTGTTGACGCTGAACTTAACCTATTCGAGTGGCACGCGATCACAATCATGCCAGATTCTGTGTGCAAGGCCCGGCACAGATGGTTTGGGGTCAAATTGGACTTCGTTTTTGAGGTTAGAAGCAGCGGGGATATCGTTTTTATAAGGCCCTGGGCGAAGCACCGAAAAAACGACAAACATGTTAGGTTTTACGAGTTGAACGTGTTTTTTGGCAAGCGCGCGAATTTCAAACGTAAGACCCAAGCAAACAGACGGCTCGTTTACAGCGCACAAACAATCACATGACGCCGAATTTGGGCTATGTATATAGATATCACTTCAAACCCTCAAGTAAAAAGTCTCAAAAACTTATGTATCCTGATACCCTTCCCAAATTTTTGGTTTCCAGACCAACACCAAACTAACTGGGTTGGTTCGGAGCATACATATCGGAGAGTCCCATAAGTTTTGAACCTTTTCGATTTGGACAAAGAGAACGTTCCAAAATCTATCATATAGCGAAGAGAGCGAATCGAACCATTGCTTCTCCTCTTTTTTGAGCCAAAAATAGGAAACCAAAGCATTGATAAATATCGCGCTCCAGTTACATGCTGTCCCTTGAACTCCTCAGATAATCGCCGGGGGCAGGCGGCCATGCGATTTATGAGCGGGCGGGCGCCGGAAAAATAGTTCGCTGATTTCTTGCGGTCCGCTTGCAATT